TTTTTATCTGTAAAAAGTCGATTTCACAATCGGCTGAATATTAATTTAAATTAAATTATATAAACTATAATGACGGATTTTTCACTTCACATTAAAGAATATCTGCATTGATTGGTTTGTAAGGGAGGTTAGTTTAAGAAAGATGGACGGTTATGGACAAGTGAAAGACTTCTGACCCCATGAACCTAGTTGAGCTCATATTATTTTTGTAATTTGGTGTTTACAAAAGCTGTTGGCATGAAACAGCCTCTATGACTAATGCTTTCTCCTCCTATCGCTTTTGCTATAAACATTTCTTTTTCCTCCAACTCATCTTCTACTTCATCATCGATAAAGTCCACAGAAGGGCCGGCTTCAAGATTTACAAAGGGTTTTACGATAGGGGGCGTAGCTTGCCGATTTAGAGGATTCTCAACAGGTGAGAAATCGATTGTAGCTAAAATGGAACTTCGCCATTTCCTCGTAAATGTTATACTGTTCGAAACTATTTCTTCACAACTTCCTTCTGTGCCTATATGGTCTCCAATTTGCTTTATTTCAGAATTTGCCTTATCATCTTCACAGTTTAGATCTGCCTGCCTCATGTCTTCTTTTAGCATCAAGTAGACAAGAACAGCATTATTATGGGTTGCATAGGCAAACAATTGTTCTCTCCGTTTAAGTCGAGCCTCTCGGCGTAGCGATTCCTCTCGTGGATTTAATGAGAGTTTCGGTTTTTTTACAAACATCATTCTAAAGCGCATGCGGTCTAGTGTAGTGGTTTTATTTTCATTTAATAGAAAAATGGCACGTGGATAAGCTTGCTGCCTGATCCGTGATTCCGATTTACGCGAGGATACTACCAACGGAGAAGGTTGATTAGATGTTCGAAGAGCGAGTATAGAGCCAAATGGACTTGAACGACCAAGGGGTGGAAATTTTCGAGTATCATCAAAGTTTGCTGAGTCGCCAAATTGTCGGGCGTAGGTCTCACAGCGTACTTGATGATTGATATCGCGACAACGGCAGTTTAGGATGAGAACGAAAGGAGTGCGAAATTCTCTGTTGAACTTGGCATAGATTAGTGGATTTAGAAAACTATTAGCGTATCCTATAATGAAAAAAATAAAATTCATTTTGAGCATATTTTCATTGATGAAATGAAGGTAGTCTAACTAAGATATTTTTTGATGTTAAATATTAATTTTTATAGGCTGAATGTATCATTAATGGAAGATTGATATTGATTTTGAGAGTAATGCGCCTTTTTTCAATGCATATTTTTTTATTAATGGGTTCTTATTATAATTTACAAAAAAATGTATTAATAATATTAGAGTCTCTTTAATACATCATTATGTGATTTAAGGGATAAAAATTAAATTCGTTAATTTCACAAGAGAAAAACAATTAAAACTATTAATAGTTTTTCTAAGAACTGCTAGTGCAATTATTTTTATTAAATTTTCAATACTTGTTTGGTATGTTTTTTGAGAACTAGCGCTAGGTTATAAGCCTACGATTTATGTATATTATAAATTGGCTGATTTTAAGATTGACTTATGGTCCGTCCCGCGATAATTATGTTTTAAAGTGATTAATTTGGAAAGGGCTGGCTTGACTTAAACGTTGCTGTGACCTGATGGTATACATGATTGCGTGGCAGATTGGTAATTTATGGTCACTTACATTAGAAGCAGAAAAATCGGCTAAACCTGCATGCTATAAATATGCATATTAATTTATTGGATCAAAGTGCCACGTTGTAATGATCATAAATGATAAATGGTTGGCGCTAAAATTAAGTTATGTATCGGATATGAGTTGAATAATTTCTATATAATCAAGCAGCATAACTATTTGCTTCTAATTTCCCTTTAATGTTGAGTAAAATTTTGCGGTGAGGAGATTTAAAATTTGATCACACAATCACATGGCAAACAGCGTACATGAGAATAAATGGTTGCAAATTTGTCGTTTTGCTGATTATGGTATATTTGCATAAGAAGCAACCTATTTGGCAAGAAATAGAATGCAAGAAATTCTGGTAAGAAATTAAACAAAACTTTCTTATGTTTATTTCATAGAAAAGGTGTTGGGACTTCTGGAGAACGAAGCCGACTCAACTAGTCTTTTCTTACTATCGTTCTAATTATATCCACTTTTTTTTTCGTTTTAGTTTGCTTGATACGCAGAAAAATGTCATATACTTAGCCAGAATTGTGCGCGAAATTTCGAAATCGGAGTGATAATTAAGAAATAGAGAAAAGCTGGGGGTGTTGGGGATTAAATCTTGATGACCGAGAGCAGACGTCACACTCTGTTCTAATAACTTTAAGCTATTACTGCTGGCTTTGTACATGTGTAGATATGAAAGCAGATAATCACAAAAACCAGGCACATGAACACGTATATTGTTTAATATATGATTTGAAATAAATAGATAGCACCATACCTAATCAGAAAGCATATATATACGGTATATATAAGATTTTTGCCATATAATGGACGAAAGCTGGCCAAAAGGTATCGGAATCGAATAAAATCGCCTCGAAAATAGCGTCAAAATTTTTTTCTGTGAAGCTAATTGACAGTTGGTTAAAGGGAAATTCTCCTTCGTTATTTTTTAGGACTCTTCACAACACTTTCAATCAAAGTAGAAATTAGCTTAGCGTTCATAGGCCAGGAGATTTCTCTATACATAAATTTTCTCTTATAAATAATTGCATCATTTAACTATATACACATTGTATATACGATTATTATCCTTCAAGGATATTAAAGCCCATAAACAGGCTGTTTGTTTAACAAATTTCTATTATTGATAAATATTTCACAGTAGAGTATAGTATAGCGCAATTTTAAGCACTGTATCGATTAAAGTATCATAATAAAACGCATATTTTTGACTTTACTGGACCTTCTAGATGGTGGCTCATTCAACATAAGTATTGTTGTTACTAATTTGCCTATTACTCCATTGGGAATCGATCATCTTATTGCGACCGAATTTGTCGAATCTACTGGACATAAACTGTATGCATTGACTATTTCAAATTTCCTAAAAACAACTTGGTGTGGCAAATATTTTTATAATAAGAGACATTAAATGAAATTGAAACTTGCATATAAAAAGAGTAGATACAATTCAAAGGCGAGAATGTATTCTAAATCTACAATAATGTGGCCACGTTTTTGAAGCATAGTCAGGTTTTTCTGTCAAAACA